GTCCTACGGCATTCGTTCAGACAGTCCCAAATTTTAGAGGTGTTATTGCAGGCTTAGGAATCGATATTCACTTCCGTCTTTTGGAAAGGATTTTTATTACCGGACCCGTCAGCGAAGACTACGAGGCCGACGATGTAGGCTTGTTCCTCGCAGGAGGCTTCCGAGTACTTGACGAAGGTGAAAAAATGTTGGCAGACTTGATCAAGCAACAGATCGTTTACGACGTTGCTGTCGAGTTGTCAACCATATGTGACGGGATTAGTGCCAATTCTTCTCTTGGAGATGAGCAGGTACAATAGTTCGTACAGTCTTTAAATAATGTAAGCAATTAAATCTGATATTGGATTTTTTCAGATTCTGGAGATGATGGAAAGCTTGCGTCGTTTAGTCTGGAAGACAGAGTCTCTGAGTCAATCAACGGGGACAGCAACTAAAGAAAAGTCGCTACGAACAATATCCGAAGACAGTTCGTCACCGAGCTATTCAACAGAAGCTGATCAAGCGCACTTTAATCAAAATAATGGCTATGCTGATGAAATAGTAGATACTCCTCAAATTTACAGTGAGCTGATCAAAAATAATGGACCAAATACAACTGCACTTGGTGAAATTAATGAAGAGGAGGAAACAATATTTTACATGTTCCCCGTGAAACAAGAAACGCCACTTGGTGGATGGCTAATGGGTAAGTCTCCAAACGATTATATTGTGAAATGTAATGTCAACCATTGAATAACATTTTTATGTTTGTTGTAGATATACTGGCTCAGCTTTACGCCTTTATCAAGTGTCTCAGGGCGGGAATTCATCAATCAATTTTGCCAAACAGGAGGACAGTAAAAATACATGAATCTCCTTCACCGTATAGGAGACGCTACAATAATCGACTTTGCTGATCCGAGATCTTCGGCCGCGTTGGAAGCCATGCGTCAACAGCAAGGAATTACGATTGGAAATCAAGTATCGACAGCGAACGAGGAATTTTTTGCGCCGCCGAATCCCAACGATGGCAACCAGCAGGGCGCAGGGATTATTATTAAAGTCGATACATACCAGAAGATACATCGACTCCAGTTCTGAATCAATTCAATGGATTATCACTTCATTCTTCGCCAAAATCTGTTACATCTGGTCTTTCGTTCGCATCCGCCATGACGAGCGCAACAAGAATGTCTTCCTCTAGCTTTTCTAGTAGTGGTACATCAGCTTCTCGTTCGCGCGTTCCATTTAAGCAATTGGATCCAGAGCGACAAAAGACCATCAAGTCGTTCAAAAGAGGAGCGAAACCACGACTTCGTAAAATGATTCAGAATCACTACAAACAATGGAAGAAAGGTATGTACAGTTTCATGTTGTATAAACTTGGCGTTATTCTG